ATATACATTCTTCCACCATTAGATATTTTTTACCAGTTGATTTTTAACAGTCTTATTGACTTTCACTGCATGGCTATATCATAATACATTTAACATATTTTCAATGGTTATTTACGCTGCTTCATTTTGTGTGTGTGTTTTGTTTAGTAAGTGTCTTAGTTTCATTTTCTGTTTCTATGATGGAAATCCTGACAAAAGAGATTTAAAGGAGAAAGAGTTTATTTGGTTCACAATTCCAGGTTACAGCCTATCATTATGGGGATGAAGGAGAAAAAACTTGAAGCAGCTAGTCACATAACATCTACAGCCAAGAGCAAAGAGGTATAAATTAATGCATGCATGCTTGCTCAGCTCATTTACACAGTCCAGAATCCTCTGCCTAGGGATTGGTGTCACCCACGATGGGCAGGTCTCCTCAACTTAATTAAGAAAATATTTCACAGACATGGCCAGAGCCCTAATTCTACTTCATGTGAAGTTGATAATTAAAACTAATCATCACAGTATCTTTATTTGTGGGGTCCCCTTTATGTCCATGGTCTTTGTGGCCATCAGTTCATGAGACCAAAGGGGCAGAAGCAATGACAAAGATCCTTGGATGGCCCATGAACACGAAGGAGATAGCCCTCTGGGAGATGACTTCAGGGAATCAGCTCAACTTTACTCCAGAATACAGGAAATGTATAGGATTGGGAAGCCTGGGGAGAAACCCTAATTTGCATTAGGTGGCACGCTCCTATCATGAGGCTTCGTAGGTGGCAGCAGGGTCCTATAGCAGAGCTCCTGTTACAAGTCTTAGTTACCATATGTGCAGCAGAGGGAAAACTTCGAGCATGAGACTATGCCAAGGGTCACCTTAGAGATAAATCAGACATCCAGGCTTAGAGACAGCGTTCAGATTAAGTCAGGCCTAGAGACATTCTCCAGATAAGGGAAGGCAGAGAGCAGGAAGAGATGGGGAGAGAGTCCCTCATGTTGCTGAGCTTCAGAAAGAGCTGCCAGGCCATGATAGACTGCCGCCTCTGACCACCAAGGCCTCCCAACACTTATTTTACATCGGGTTTTACTGTGTAGTTTAGGCTGACCTCAAATTCACTATCCTCCTGTCTCTACTACCATTCAAGGGCTGGGATTACAGGAATGTGCCACCATATCCTAATTTTGTTGATTTTTATAGATTTTTTTAAATGTTATGTGTATGAGTGTTTTGCCTGAGTGTATGTGTACCGTGTGTGACTGGTGCCCTTGGAGGACAGAAAAGGGCATCAAGGCCCCTAGACCTGGAATTACAGATGGTTATGAGCCATCATGTGGGTGCTGGGAACCAAATGCAGGTCCTATGAAAGAGCAGCCGGTCCTCTTTACCACTGAGCCACCTCCCCAGACCTTGTTTTTAATGAATACTTGTATAGTTAAATGTCTGTATAATAGTTTGATCACTTTCTTTTTTTCTTGATCAAACTCTTTTTTGGGGGGGGTATAAAAGTCCATATTTTTATTATTATTGTTGTTGTTTGACATTGGGTCTCTCTTTCCTTGATCGAATTCTTGACCAGAAAGAGAACAAGTCCATTTCTAATCCTTTAACACATTGTCTTGGCTAACCAGCAGAGTTTAAATAAATAATGCAAATGTCAATATTTTAATGCCAAGGTCACATTTCAATTTGAGTGTCCATTTCCCACAGTCTTTAGACTGTGTTCTTGAAAGCAATCTGGATACTGTGGCTTGTGACTACTTACTTTCTGTGCCTAAATATTTATAACAAGTGGTGTGTGCTCCTTCACACCGGGTATGAGAATCACGTTTCTCTTCTTTCTCCAAGTCAAAGTTTACATGTTCTGAGGGCCCACCCCACAGTGCTGGAAAGACATTCAGTCCCAATTGTTATAACCGATGGCCCAACTTCTGATCGTGTGAAAGTCTGCTTGGCCAGCCCCATAAGAGCCTTCTGGATATTACTCCACTTTGTCACCATACACATACATGCTTCTCATTCGAGATGGCATGGTCCCCAAATGCACTGAGTCTTCTCTCAGCTGGAGCTCAGGAGCCTTAGCCTCCCCTTCCCTGGGGCACCAACAGCCAGCTGCATAAGAGATGCATAAACAAATGTAACACATCTTAAAATAATATTCTACCGCAGTTTAGGCCAGAATAATGGCTAATACTTGTGGCTCCCATGAACTGATGACCTCCAGAAGGGAAAATGCTCAGGCTTAGGCAGGTTAAAGAGATCTAGGTGCAGAGTGGCCAGGCTGCCGACCCCATTGTTGAAGCTGATTATCAGGGAGCTCAGCAGCAGCCAGGAAACTGGTTATCTTCTCCCAACCCTTCAATTGCTCAGACTCACTGGACCACCAGTGAGGGGAAGATGGGCATTCAGACCAAAGTCCAGTTCCGTGGAACGTTGTGAGTGGGGAGATGAAGCAGGAAAGAGCAGCTGTGAGCGCTGCAATGGGAGGGAAAGCCACAATGGCTGCCCTAGGGCTTCTTTCTGGCACCTTCCCTGGCACTGGACATAGCCGAGAGTCCTTAGGTTTGGGCATCTGACAGCTGCCACTTCAAAATTCATTTCCGTTCCGCCACTATGGTGATATGTTAATTGTACTGAAATGTGATTTTATTTGTATGTTAATAAATAAAGTTGCCTCGGGGTCAGCGCTAATACCAAGCCATAGCAGAAGCAGGGCGGTGGTGGTGCCTTTAATCCCAGCTCTTGGGAGGCAGAGCTAGGCGGATCTCTGTGTGTTCAAGGATACAGCCAGCATGGAGACACACGCCTTTAATCTCAATACCAACCATAGAAGACCTGGAGGTCTGTACAGACAGGCAGTGACGAGGAGGTCATGTGGTTGGATTTACAACCAATGAGAAGGCAGAATAGAAAGTCTATAAAAAAAAGACAAACAGACAGGAAGTAGGTCTCTTGCTGACGAAGATAGCAGCAGCAGTGAAGGGTAAGGTCTTTAGCTCTTAGCTATCGCTCTGACCCTTGGGGCTTTCACCTTTGCATTGGCTCTGTGTTTCTTATTTAATAAGACGGTTACATCTACACACCACTACTTGTTGGTAGCATCATCATGACAATAATATTCTGATGAATAATATCATGACTCTCAATTTCTTCATCTGTAACAAAGATTGATACAGACAGAAAAAAGTCAATTGTTCAGGGATGAGAGGAGATGGAGGTTCTTATTCACTAATGTGATTTAAGAAAGAGGGCTTTGCCAGGCGGTGGTGGCACACACCATTAATCTCAGCACTTGGGAGACAGAGGCAGGCAGGTCTCTGTGAGTTCGAGGTCAGCCTGTTCTAGAGAGTGAGTTCCAGGGCAGCCAGGGCTATACAAAAAAACTCTGTCTTGAAAATCCAAAAGAGAGAGTTAGAGAGAGAGAGAGAGGAAGAAGGAGGAGGAAGAGGGAGGGGGAGGAGGAGGGGAGAGAAGGAGGGAGGGAGAGAGGGAGGAAGGAAGGGGACTTTGCACTCAGATGTGACGGAGTTAAAAAGTTCTGTCACTTATTACCTGTAGTACTGCAGTAACTCAGCCAATGTTTGAGTCATATTTCCTCACTATACAAAGAGAACCACACAACCAGGTGTGGTGGTTCACGCCTTTAATCACAGCACTTGGAAAGCTGAAGCAGGATTACTATGAATTCAAGAACAGTTGGAGCTGCAGAGACCTTGTTTCAAAACAAAAGCAAAACAAAACCAAAGAAATCCCCAAAGACCAGGCTTTAAGATGGCTCAGTAGGCAAAAGTGTTTGCTGTCAAGCCTGAAGATCTGAGTTTGATTCCAGGATCCACATGGCCTCATGGTAGAAGGGAGGGGAGACCCAATTAGACCTCCTCCACACTCGTACCCTCTACCTCACCCCCACAAATAAATGTAATAAAGAAAAACTTTGGAAACATTAGATATTTTAAAAGGAGGGAAATAATTATACAGTATTTCCTCAAGCTCTGAGGACAGTAAAATAATGTGTTGGGCCAGGTGTGGGTGCGCACACCTTTAATCCCAGCACTTGGGACACAGAGACAAGGATCTCTCCTCCGTGTAGCAGAAATGAACAGTTGTGGTGGTCCCAGCACCGAGGGCGTTTGATTTTCTTCCCTAACGATCATGAAAAGGCAGGGAGGTAATCAAACCAGAGTCGGGGTGAAATTTCATATCTATCTTTGCATTTCTATTTACACCTTTAAAAGCACCCTCTGGTTATGGGCTCTTGGTGGAGAAAGAATCCTGGGGCCATTCGAAGACTTCACGGGCGAGCCGGGCGCGCTCCCGCGAGGCCCGGGATCTTCTGCAGCCTGCTGGCTGGAGCCCGGCTGGAGCCCGTGCAGTAGACGGCGGGATCCACCGTTGACTCACAGACCTTGGACGCGTGGCAGGCGGTCCAGAACAGCCAATCACGAGAAAGCGAGCGACCGAGGGACGGCGCGGTCGCGGGTCCGTCCCGGTGATTGGCCGACGGTCGCGCCGCCAAACCCACGTGAGCGCCACGGCGCGGCGCTGGCTGGGCTCCTTCCGCACCTTTCGGCCCGTGACGGCGGCCGGCCGCCTCCTCGGGGCCGGGCCATGGGCGGGGACGGTGGCCCGGGGGTTAAAGGGAGGCTCGCACGCAGCCCGGCTGCCTGTGCCGGTGCGGCCGCGTCCCCGCAGCCCGGTGTTAGGGGAGCCGGTGGATGGCGGCCCGGAGCCTTAAGGTGAGGACGGGAGGCGGGAGGGGAGCGCCGCGGTCTGCAGGGCGTCTGCCGCCGGGACGGGACAGATGCTGCCCTCCTGGTACCCGGCCGACCTGCAAAGTGGGCTGGTGTCCGTCCGGGCTGGACGGAGGAGCCATCTCCACCTTCCACTCCTGGTTAGGTACAAAACTCAGTACAGAAATGCTTTTACCCTCGCTAGAGTTGGGATTCTTCCAGTGGTTACGGTGAACGGGCACACTAAGAAGTCAGCTAAATTGACAGAGCAAGTCCCTGGCAGCTCTGGTAATGGAACCCCACCTCTCCCCCAGTGCGGAGTCAGGCTGCGTCCTTTTCTCTCGCAGATTGGCGTTGACCAGTGATTGAGAAGCATTCAGAGTCGAAGTTCTCTTTCTGGCACTATACGAGTGCTATTTTTCCTTTTTGCCCCGCGGCTCTTTTTGTTTGTAGGGTTGCTGGGGATTGAACCTGAGGCCTCCCCCAAGTGTGCCTCTGGACTATGCGTATAGCTCAAACCCGACGATTCTTTATGGGATAGACTGTGTTGGATATAGAAGAAATTCTTGTTTTTGAAAATTAGATCAGTCATAAAGTGGAGGGTCACACTTAAGAATGTTAAGGATTGCCGGAGACAGAGGCTAACAGCTATTAGGTGTTGCTTAAATACTTCTGTCTCGTGTACTGGACTGTTCTGAGATCTTCACTTGTATGAGATACTTGGTAATTTCCATTTTGCAAGACAAAAATTGATGCCAGGTAGTTTTCATCCTGCACCATAAAGCTGTTGAACAGTAGCCGGGATCCGAATGGATATCTGATCTCTCCTATTGCTTTGCCAGCTCTGGTCCCAGGCTTATTAGCTCCGCATCCCCTGGAATACAGAGGCTTCTGTTTCCTATGGTTTGCAGGGGCGGGCCCAAGAATCTGCATTTTTATCAGCATCTATGCTGAAAATCACTGTATAGTACTGTGATGTGCTGCCTCCTACAGGAAAAGCTAGAGGAGAACATATTCAGGGCTTTGGACATCTCCACATTGTATTCTAGGGTAAGTTTGGAAAGTAGATAGGACAAACTTCGAGTAAGCAAAAACCCAGGTTGATGCTAAGCAAACTCTAGGATTTTGATGCAGTCTTGGATATAGTATCTTGTGCAAAGAGGCACACACACTTAGTGAGTTAGATGAGAATAAAAGAAATAATTCCTTTTTCTTCCGGCTCTTAAACTGCCGTTTATCCATTTTACAAATACTTGTGAACCACTTCATAGGTGTTAGGCAAGCAATTTGAGGTTGCGGTTTAAAATAAGCGTAGGGCTGGAAAGAGGGCTCAGTGCTTAAGAGAATGTGTTGCTCCTGCAGGGGACCTGAGTTAGGTTCCCAGGACCTGCGATGGGGATGCCTAACAACCACCTGTAACTGATAAGGATCCGATACTCTCCTCTGGACTCCAAGGGCACACACACACACAAGCACGCATGCACATGCGTACATATACACATCATTAGAATGCATTTTTGAGTGAATGTATAATAATATGAGGTGGCAAAAAAGGCCATGGGGGGAAACAGGCCATGGGGGGAACCGTCAAGCCAAAGAGAAGGCGATGGCTCCAGAGAGGTAGATCTGGACAGGGCAGGGGGGGCTATTTTACATACTGTGTTTAGTAAGAAACTGATTGGTAAGGGGACTTGGAGAGAAATAACAAAGAACAAGTTGTGAATATAATTGGGGAAGGGCATTCCAGCTAGAAGAAAATAAACAAAAAACTGTGGAAGAAGCCAGAGCTTGGTTGATTGAACTCATCTGGGACGCTGTCATGGTAACCAGATTATATAACAGAGATATATTTTATACTGTTGCTCCTAGTAGAAAATGAAAGAATTTTAATGGTGTGTACTTATGATAGAAAGCATAAATGGAGTGCTGGGGAGAAGGCTCAGTGGGTAAGAGTGCTAGCTCTCAAGCAGGTGGACCCGAGTTCGAGTCCCCAGCACCCATGTACCAGCTGGCCGCGACCACTGTCCTGGGAGGCAGAAACAGCGGGATCTCAGGAGCCCACTGGCCCGCCAGCCTAGCTAACACTGAGCTCTGGGTTCAGTGAGAGACCCTGTTTCAGAAAATAAAGTGGAGGGCCATCAGGATGGGTTAGTGGGCAAAGGCGGTTGCTACATTACTGACTTCAGTCCCCAGAACTCATGTAAAGGCAGAAGCGAGAACTGATTCCACAAAGTGGTCCCCAGGCCTCACACTCCTGTTCCTGCACATAGCACCACACATGTACACATACAATAATTGTTTAATTAAAAAGGCATGCACATATATATATATATGCACACATACACGTGGCTATAAATTTATTTTAATTCCTAATTAAAATATAACTATATCATTTCTTCCCTTTGATTCCTCCCTTCAAACCTCCTGATGTCCCCCCCCACTTCCTCTCAAATATTTGTCTTCTTTTTAACTGTTACTGTTACATAGATCCGTAAGTGCATAAATATATAAATACAATGTACTGAGTTTGTTGAGTGTTACTTGTATGTATATGATTTCAGAGCTGACCATTTGGTATTGGAAGCTCATCCCTGGGGAAGACTAATTCACCCACTCTTACTTACCATTCCTTGGTTGTCTGTAGTTCTTTGTCTGGGGTAGGCCCCAGTGGGATTGCCTCCTTCCACGTTAACATGTCTACGGTGTCAGCCTCGTTCGGGTCTTGTTTAGGCAGCCATATTGTTGAGGTATCACGGGTAAAGCTTCTCCATCGTTTCTATGAGACAGTCTCACGGCAGTTTTCCTGCCCTGTGGCTCTTCCAGGCTTTCTGCCCCTTCTTCCACAGTGTTCCCTGAGCCTCAGGTGTGGAAGCTGGGGTGTGGGTGTGCATGTTGGGGCTGGACACTCCCTGATCAGTTGTTCTCTGAGTTTTGACCTGTTGTTTTCTGTAATTGCATCCCTCTGCTGCAAGAGAGCCTTCTTTGATGAGGGTGACGGCTACACTTACTGTGGACAGAGGGATGAGTATTTAGAGTGAAGTTAGTAATTATGCTGATTAGTAAACAGCCATGGTAGACCCTCCTCTGAGATTCATGACTCCACTAGTCATAGGTAGTTGGCTGTTTCTGTGTTTCCAGCATCAGGCATACATTCCTCCAATCAGAGGGCTGTTGGTTACCGTCAGGATAGGAGTGCCATTATTGCAGCCCTAGGGATGTCTTGCTATGCTGATCATTGTTGTGGTTCACAGGCATCACAGCTGGGTAGGACCGTTGGTGTTCTCCCTCTTTTGGAAGCTGGCATGGTTCCATGGGAGCCAGTCCTCAGGCAGGAGGTTTTCAGGTCAGATCAAGCTCGGATCCTCTGGGTCCTGTGTCTGAAGTGCACAGTGTCTGCAGCAATAGTGACTAAACCCCCAATTCCTGGGAGGCAAGCAAGGGCCATGCAGTAACCTTTATTGTCCTGAGTGACTCTTGACTCCCTGACCAACAACTCAAAACCTATGTCCTCCTGTTCCCCTTTCTAAGGCTCCATCCTTAGACTCTCTTTTGACTTCTCAGGTTTCCATGGTTACTCCAGGTTATATATACTCACATCTGAAGATCTGGGGTTAGAAACCACAGATGAGGGAGAACATGTGGGCCTGGGCTACCTACCTCATTGTAATACTTTCTAATTCCATCTATTTACCTGAAAATGTCATCATTTCATTTTTCTTTACAGCTGAATAGTATTCCATTGTGTATATGTACCACATTTTCATCGTCCATTCAAATGTTGAAGGACAATGAAGTTATTTCCATCCCCTAGCTATTGTGAATAGAGCAGGAATGAACATAACTGGAAAAATAAATGCTCCCTGAGGACCAGCCTTCATAATACCAGAAGGTGCTGTGCAGGAGGCCGAGGGAGGGAAGCAGCCGATAGTCTTGTCCAGGCTAGATCCAGCTCAGGTCCTCCAAGTAAGCGTCTGTGTCATAGGGGGTTGAGTTTTTCAAGCATCTGCCGAGGAGTGGCATAGCTGGATCATAGATTTAGTCTTAGGGGCATCTGTCCTCAAGGACACACACTCACACACACACACACACACCCCTATCCTTTAAAATATCTTTAAAAATTCTTCATCCATGTTGAAATGAAAATACTAAACCTTTAAGCGTTGTTAGTAGCTGAATAATCACTCCAAGGCTGAACCACATTTTGTTGACTTGTACATGCATTGATGGGTAGTTGGGTTGTCTCCACCCTGACTGTGCTTTCATGAACAGTGATGTTCAAAGGTTGGCAGGAAGGGTTTGGATTTTAGATTTTATAAGTCTATATATATTTAGATGTTTATATTTAGTGTGGTTTTATGTTTAATTAAATACTGCATCTTGAAAGCTGTTTTTCAGTTTCAAAGTTTTGAGAGTTTTCTTTTTTTCCTGCTTTCTCTTAGGTTAAGAATATTATGATTCCTGCTGGATGAGGTGGTGCACGCTTTTAATCTCAGCATCCAGGAGGCAGAGGCAGGTGGATCTCTGTGAGTTCGAGGTCAGCCTGGTCTACAGGATGAGTTCTAAGACAGTCAGGGCAACACAGAGAAACCCTGTCTTGAAAAACAAGCAAACAAACAAAAATACATAATTTATATAATTTTATGTTTTTTTTTAAATTTTATCTCAGCCAATGATTTAGTATTTTTGCCTTAAAATTTTAGTGGTTACCTTTGCTTATAATATATCTCTGGGTTAAGAGCACCAACTGTTCTTCCAGAGGTCCTGAGTTCAATTCCCAGCACCCACATGGTGGCTCACAACCATCTATAATGAGATCTGACTCTGTCTTCTGTGTACATAAATAAATAAATAAATCTTTAAAAAAATAATAATTTATCTCTGTAGTCAAGGCTCCTCTCTTCAAACAATACACTACTTCACATCTAAGATAAGACCTTAGAGTTCTAACACCCTTTCCATTCTTTGTGCTATTTTTTTTTTTCCTGTGACAGGGTTTCTCTGTGTAGCTCTGGCTGTCCTGGAACTTACAGAGATCCACCTGTCTCTGCCCCTTAAGTGTTTGTTAGTTTTTAACTAATTTGTTCCAGTTCCTGAACTTTACCTCTTTGCTCTGTCAACCAGGGTTTCAGTCTGGCATATGCTTTTTGCTAAAAGAATCTGTCTGCCTTCGGGTTGAGGAAGAGGTAGCTGCTGACCCAGCCTAATGCTTTCTTGACACTGCTTTGGCACCTCAACGCCCCGTGCTTGGGACAGAGGGTGGCTGGGCTCTGGATTGCTCCCGTCTTCTATGGCCATGCCTGTCCCCAGCCAGCACAGAGCAGATGGTGGCGATGGCAGCAGATGACGGGGAGAATGGCAGCCTGCTTGTGTGGCAGACTGTGGCGCTACATGGCACAAAACTAGGAAATACAGAACCACAGTTTATCACCCCATCCCCTCCTGCTAGTAAGGAGTTAGCAAAAGGGATTCAAAGGAGGAGATGAGAGGCTCATTGAGACCTAAATTTCTTATATAGTGTACCTATATGTGAAACAAAGTAGCCAGTCTGCCATGGACTAGATGAATATGGGGACTGGATGAAGGGGCTAGACGATTGAAATTGTGTGTGTGTGTGTGTGTGTGTGTGTGTGTGTGTGTGTGTGTGTGTGTGTGTGTTTTACATATGTAATTTTATATACACATATATAATTTTATGTATATAAAATTAGGTTTGTTTTGAGACAGGGTCTCATGTAGACCATGCCGGCCTCAAACTTGCAGTATAGGCTGAGGAAAACCTTGAACTGTCGATCCCCCAAGTATGGGGATTATAGGTACGTATCATTACACTAGTTACATACAATGTGTTTTATTCAGCAACTGCTGAAAGACTAAGAAATGGGAATCTTTCCAGAATAATCCATCTAAAGGAGCACGAGTCAGGTCTGCCTGGATTTAGTAATCTGACAACTGTGACACAGATGTGTCAGAGTGGATTGTACAGAGTACTGGAGTCCCAGTTATCTCAGAGAATTTTCCATCAACATTGGTTATGAGAGGCTCTGGGTACCTGAAATCTTCTCATCCAGAGCTTGCTAATCCAGACTGTATACCACATATCTCATAAGCCATGGATGAAGAAATTTAGAATTGCTCTATTGACATTAGGCACCTATTCTCCAAGAATATTATTGTCTTTTCTGCAAGTCTTGCTGTGTTCAGAGCCTTTGGGCATCATTTGCAAAGAGATTTAACAACAGAATGATGGTAGTCTGAAGTGTGTAAGGAATTGTGTGGTGGTTGATGTACCAGTTGGCACACCTCATACAGCAATTCGCAGTGTGTTTGGAGGACAGATGCTTATGGCCATGTCTGAATTCCACCAAATACGCCTAACCATAGAGTTCTAAATAAGCACCTAGCATTTGCTGTCAAATTCCAGTGTTCTGAGTCATCATAAGATCGACCTCCTAGTTTTTGAGGTTAACAAGATAATCTTTCCGATTATCTGTTTTGTCTGGGTGGCTGATGTGAGGTTTTAAACCTGACTTGAAATAGTAACAGCAGACTTGTTTATACAGGACTATTTTATAAACATATCAACATGGAGATGTAAAGGAGCCAGTCTTAGGTCTAACAGAATGACGTCACTTCCATTCTTCCTATGGCCCGGCTCTTTGTGTGCTACTGAATCATGCAGGATTTGATTACCCCCATGTGGAAAGGGCTGTAATGCTTCAACTGCATTATGTCTCAGGTGTGCAGTGGGAGAGCTCAGAACTTCACGGTTTTGTACCTTGAGGGGGAAAAGTAAAAAACGGTTGTATTTGAGAGGGAAACAAGTGACCATATAAAGGGTGAGTTTTAAGAAGACGCTTTGCGAGACTGACTGTGCGTACTCGTGGGATCTCGGTCACTGTATGCGTGGCATGTATCTGTCTTCAGAAGCGTCCCCGGAGCAACAGTGCTAGTTAAGTGCTGGGTTTTGCTTTTCTGTCAGTCCTTCTGATTAGTCTCCAGATTCTCGGACCTCTCCTTCGGTGTTTCTTGAATATTTAACAATTCTTGGCCATTAAACTCTGCCCATTCTCTATCTTCCTCTTTGGGGATTTTAATTCTGTGTTTAAATAGTTTGATATGTCACTCTTGGATACTCTGTTATATTCAACATCTGTTTCTATTGGTTTTCTCATGTTTAGCACTTTTGATTCTTAGTTTACGTTTCTTAGACATGTTTTGAATTTGTTTTTATTTTCCTTCTTCTCTATAGCAGCCATAGAGGTAAAATTTGGGTCTGGTTATTAGTAAAAGTGGTAGTGTTTTATCATTTCTTTTTCTTATCTTAGGTTAGAAGAGCCTCTTGACCAAAGACCTGCCCCAGACAGAAAATCAAACAGGCTCAGGAAAACAGGAAGTGAGAAGGCGGGACGCTGCATTGAGGACCAGTCCACCAACTGTTTGACTTGCTCAGGGTCAGTAGTCTTCTGGATCTGGCCTCTTCCTCTTCTGGATTTCCTAAAGACCATCAAAATAATTATTGCTTTTTTCTTGCTCAACCTAAGTTAAAGAAACATGGGTAATTTTTATGTGTTCTTGAATAGGATATGGGCTCTTAGATTGTAACACCTTGGTAATGATAGGTCTTTAGAACCTAACAAAGGTCCTTTTTTTTTTTTTTCTCCCCCTGTCAACTCAAAACTTCCAGTCCTCCATCTACTTTGCTTTTATTTGGGCATAGTCACTATGTGTTTGTTCTTTGATTGATTTGAACATCTCAGTGTTACTCTTGGTGGTGACCACATTGATGGACAGAAGGGTGTGCCCTTTCCTACAGGAACTACAGAGGCTCCTGCTTGATTAAGAGGTACAGAATGCCACAGGACACCGAGGGAGAACTGATCCATTTGAGCTAAGGGGATTGGCTGGTGCTGTTAGTGATGGTAGCATTTCAGCTGGATTTTACAAAATGATTAAGGTCTTGACAGAGAGATGGCCGTGCTAGGTGTCTTAGGGTTTTTATTGCTTTGAAGAGACACCATGACCACAGCAACTCTTATAAGGACAATATTTAATTGGGGTGGCTCACTTACAGTTTCAGAGGTTCAGTCCATTATCATCATGGCAGGGAGCATGGCAGAGTGCAGACAGATGTGGTGCTGGTTAAATCTTGATCAGAAGACAACAGGAAGTCAACTGAGACAGTGGGCAGTATCCTGAGCATAGGAAACCTCAAAGCCTGCCCCCACACTTCCTCCAACAAGGCCATACCCACTCCAGCAAAGCCATATCTGATAGTGCCACTCCCTATGATATTATGGGGGCCAATTATATTCAAACTACCACATTCCACTCCCTAGCCTCCATAAGCTTGTAACAATATCATAATGCAAAATGTATTTAGTCCAACTTCAAAATTCCCCATAGTCTATAACAGTCTCAACAATGTTTAAAAGTTCAAAATTCAAAGTCTCTTTTGAGATTGTTTCAATCTCTTAACTGTAATCCTCTGTAAAATCAAAAAGCATCACATACTTCGAACATACAATGACACAGGATATACATTACTATTCCAAAATGTAGGGAAGGGAGCATAGTGAGGAAATACTGGACCAAAACAAGACCAAAAACCAGCTGGGCAAACTCCAAACTCTGCATCTTTAATGTCAAAACGCTCTTCAGCTCTCCAAATCCATTCAGCTTTGTTGACTGTAACACACTTCTCTCTCTTGGGCTGGTTCTACTCCCTGTTAGGTATCCCACAGCTCTGGCATCTCTGACATCTTAGGTTCTCCAAGGCAATCCAGGCTTCAACTTCACAGCTTCAAGCAATGGTCTCTCTACCAGGCCTCCATTCAGGGACACCCCTGACCCATGCCTGGCCTTAGCAGTTTTCCTTAAGCATGGAGGCAAATTCCATAGCCCGTTTCTTCTGTCCTTAACTCTAAAGCCAGAACCACACGGCCGAAGCTGCCAAGTTCTGCTGCTTGCTGGGGCTGGAGCAAGGCCTCCTTGTTCAAGTACATCTTCACCAGCTTTCTGTTTTTGATGGTTTCCTTCCCTGCCTAAGCTTGGCTGCTCTGGAACTTGCTCTGTAGACCAGGCTGGTCTCAAACTCAGAGATCCACCAGCCTCTGCCTTCCAAGTGCTGGAATTAAAGGCATGCGCCACCACACCTGGCTCTAAGCTTTTCTTTAATTCCTTTTCACAAGTTGGACACTTAGTTGGGTGGGATCTTGACCTGAGGTCACCACCCCCTTTATTCCATTTCTTAATCCCCTTATCTCCTAGAATACAGGCTTTAGCTCCATTCCACTTCCTGGTGCTTTTTTGTATTTTTTCCTTGCTCAGCTTGCTCTTTTTCATTATAAATCTTCATTAGAGTTACCACTACTAACCACACAACAGAGTCTATACTAGGCTGTTTTGAGATTTCCTCTGCCAACGGAATTAATCCAAAACTCTTCACTTTAGCCTCAGACAGACTATTTGGACAAGGGCAAAAAGCAGCCACTTATCACAAGGCCAGTCTCTAGGCCACGTACTAACATTCTTCTCCTCTGAAACCTCTTGATCCCCACCGTTCAAATAACTTAGCACCACTGTCTTCCATGTTCCTACTAGTATGGCCCAATAAGCAGTGCTTAAAGTATTCTACTGCTTTCCTTACCCAGAGTACCAAAGTCCAAGTTCCTCCAAACAAAAAACATGGTCAGGCCTATCACAACAATACCCTAGTACTAACTGCTTTCTTAGTTAGGGTTTTTATTGCTATGAAGAGACACCATGACCATGACAACTCTTATAAGGAAAACATTTAATAGGGATAAAACTCACCTATAGTTTCAGAGGTTCGGTCCATTATCTTCAAGGCAGGGAGCATGGCAGAGTAGGCAGACATGGTACTGGTTAAATCTTGATCAGAAGGCAATAGGAAGTCAACCGAGACACCGGGTTGTATCCTCAAAGCCCGCCCCACAGTGACGCACTTCCTCCAGCAAGGCTATGCCACTCCAACAAAGCCACACCTCCTAATAGTGCCGCCCCCCACGAGACTGTGGGGGCCAATTACATCCAAACTACCACACTAGGCAAAACTCACAGTTTATGAGGAACTAATTCACTGACAATTTACTCTGCTCCTTTAGGAGCCTGGTTCTTTTCCTGTTGAAAAGGCCTTTTGTTGTCTTTTCTTTTTTGTTATTTTTACCTTTTGGTTTTGTTTTCTTCTAGTTCCTAGTGGTAGATCCTTTGGCACTAGATCTGGAGTTTAGGCCCAGAGATGCAGGGTCACTTGTGTGTCTTCCAAGTGGAAGTTCTGGGCAACATTACTTCTCTGCTCAGCCTGTGAAGACCATTGGAAGCATATGGAAAGGAGAAAGGCTGCCCTGATATAGTTTTTGAGGAAAATCTTCAGGGGATGCCGGGAGATACAAAGGAGAGTCTTTAGTGTTCTTGAGAAGTTCTGTACCAACCCAGTGACTTGCTGTACATAGTCTGCTTCTGGCCTTTCTCCCTGACCTCTCCAAGACCAGGACAAATGAGGCTCAATAAAGGAGTAGATATTTTGAGATTTCTACCCCCAGACTGGGCATGGTAGCCCATGCTTTTAATTCCTGTATGAAGGAGGCAGAGGCAGGTGGACCTCTGTGAACTTTAAGCTAGCTTGGTCTGCATAATAAGTTCCAGGTTAGCCAGCGCTGCATAGTGAAACCTTGCCTCAAAAGAAAAAGCCTACCCCAAATGGAATTCTTTAACCCCACGAATGATAAGCAGGACTGCTAATATATGTGAGCACTGAGAACTAACTAGTTTATAAGCTAATATATATATTTTCTCTGGGGTAGGAAGTAAACCATCTGTCTCCAGAAATGTCTTCAGAAAACAAAGAGCAGCATGACCTTCCACCGAGGGACTTCCCTGAAGAAGCCTTCAGCCTCCCAGATGAGGTCCCCCTGGAGGCTCAAAGGGGAGCGAGCACCGACCTCAAGCAGTTTGAGACCAATGATCGATGCAGACCTTATCGTAGGATCCACCTGGAACCTCAGGAGAAACCAGATACTAACATCCAAAAAGCCGTCATCAGAAAGCTACACAAGAGTTGCCAGTGTAGCCCAGCCAAAGTCAGAAGTATGGTTTTTGATTTCTTTCCTGTCTTGCGGTGGCTCCCAAAATACGATGTGAAGAAGAACATTTTAGGTGATGTGATGTCTGGCCTGATTGTGGGCATACTTTTGGTGCCCCAGTCTATTGCTTACTCGCTGTTGGCTGGCCAGCAGCCTATCTATGGTCTGTATACATCGTTTTTTGCCAGCATCATTTATTGCCTGTTTGGTACCTCTCGCCACATCTCTGTGGGCATTTTTGGAATACTGTGCCTTATGATCGGTGAGGTAGTTGACCGAGAACTACATAAAGCCTGCCCTGACGCGGCTGCTACATCTTCTTCGTTAGCAGTGGTTTCAAATGGGTCCCTGTTAGTAAACCATACATTAGATGAACTTTGTAACAAAAGTTATTATGCAATTAAAATTGGCAGCACTGTGACCTTCATGGCTGGAGTTTATCAGGTAAGGAACGGTGGGCAGTTAGACCGGGTGGGTGGGCAGTTAGACCGGGTGTGGTGGCCCAGCACTCAAGGAGCAGGGGGTGGGGGGGCAGGAGGATCTCTGAATTTGAGGCCAGCCTGGCTTCATAGCAAATTCCAGGACTACATGGTGAGACCCTGAGACACCAGGAAAGACAAAAAGGGAGGGAGAGACTTAGCAACTGGTTATTTCTGGCAAAAGTAATCACTATATTCAAAATCTCTACTGTGGGGCCTGTTAGGGGTTGTAATAAAGCTACCATTTACTGGGTGCTGAAGCTGTGACTGGTAGGACCCAAAGCCAAACTCCACATTCCACTGGTAAAACAGGGCTGGCTTTCCCGCCTGTTCCTAGGCTGCCTCGTAAGCAGTGGCCAACAATCAGATATTTAAAAAAAAAAAAAAAAAAAAAATTGAGACCAGAAAGGGTCAGTCCTTAGACCAGCTAGTACAATTCTTAACTTTCTATGACGGAAACACTGGGTTTGCTTAAGATCACGTGTGTCTGATTATTAACGAGAGAGGGTGATCGATGGGGGAGGGGTGGGGGAAGGCAAAGGGATGCCAGAGTTGTTCAAATTACTGCCACATAGATCCCACCTTCCTTAAGAATAGCTAGTCTAGTGAGAGACCTCTGCTAAATTTGGTAGTTCTCTTGGATTGATGAAGAGGGAGAGAAAAACTTGAAGACCATCATTTTCCCAGCCAAGAGAAATGATTACAAATTCAAATCTTCTTGAGTCTCCCATGGAACCTGCTAATCTGCTGTTATGATTATGCCCCTGCCTTTTAGCATCCAGAAATCAATACCAACATTGAACCTGTCTGTACTCTATTGTAGGAATTTGGAGCCAGGGAATAAAGAGGAAGAATAGTTGGCTTTATTTGGTACTTGGATGCGGTGGGAGAGACAGAAAGGGGTGATGGGTTGTGTTGCCTTGAGTCCACGTTGGCTTTCTTAGTATATCGCACCAAGGTGAGGAAGGTGATAGAATTCTGCGGACTGGGGCAGGAAAGGATATGGCAGTAGTATTGCTACCTCAGAGGCAGTACGGAGTGTGATTCAGTTTTGATGTGAACCTAATTTTTCCACCAGCTAAAATTGTACTCTCAGTTGTATAGGGGTACATGCCTGTAATTTGGGAGATAGAGGCAGGATAATCAGGAGTTTGGGGTCATCAAAGTTCAAGACTTTCCTGGAACCATGAGACCTTGCCTCCAAAAATAAAATTTAGAAACCTTCCATTTTACAGTAATAATTTTTAATTTAGAGAAAATGTTTTCTTAAGTAGAAGAAGAATTTCTCCAATTTGAATCTGTATACATGTGTATGGAGCCTTGAAAATCCTCTTTGAAAGCAATCTGAACTATGCCCCAGTTTCCAATTATCGTATAAGGTAGAAACCCCAAGTCCTCATTATAGGCGGACTAGTGAGTGTGACTTTAGGCAAGCTTTCTTGCCTTGTGACATGAAAAGTCACGTGTGATTGCGTTTCTTTTAGCTCTGACACTCTCGGTACTGATAGTCTTGTCACCGTGCAAGGCAGGCCAGGGTGGCATGGCCTGAGGAGCGCGCGCCCATCTGCCTAACACTTGCCTGCGCTCCCTTCCAGGTAGCCATGGGCTTCTTCCAAGTGGGCTTCATCTCTGTCTACCTCTCAGACGCCCTGCTGAGTGGGTTTGTCACCGGGGCCTCGGTCACCATCCTCACGTCTCAGGCCAAGTACCTCCTGGGGCTGAGCCTTCCTCGGAGCAACGGCGTGGGCTCAGTCATCACTACCTGGATCCACATCTTCAGGAATATCCATAAGACCAATATCTGTGATCTCATCACCAGCCTGCTGTGTCTCCTGGTCCTTTTGCCGACCAAAGAACTTAACGAGCGCTTCAAGTCCAAGCTCAAGGCACCGATTCCGACCGAACTCATTGTCGTGGTGGCGGCCACGTTAGCGTCTCATTTTGGAAAACTAAACGAGAACTACAACTCCAGTATTGCCGGACAAATCCCCACTGGGTTTATGCCGCCCAAAGCCCCAGACTGGAGCCTGATTCCTAACGTGGCGGTCGATGCCATCGCTATCTCTATCATTGGCTTTGCTATCACCGTGTCGCTTTCTGAGATGTTTGCCAAGAAACATGGCTACACGGTCAAAGCAAATCAAGAGATGTACGCCATCGGCTTCTGCAACATCATACCCTCCTTCTTCCACTGCATTACCACCAGTGCGGCGCTTGCCAAGACACTGGTTAAGGAATCCACAGGCTGCCAGTCCCAGCTGTCGGCTATCGTGACGGCCCTTGTTCTTCTGTTGGTCCTTCTGGTAATAGCTCCTTTATTCTACTCCCTTCAAAAGTGTGTCCTTGGCGTGATCACTATTGTAAACCTCCGGGGCGCCCTTCTTAAATTCAGAGACCTGCCCAAGATGTGGAGGGTTAACAGAATGGACACAGTCATCTGGTTTGTTACTATGCTGGCCTCTGCTCTGCTAAGCACTGAAATAGGCCTGCTTGTCGGGGTTTGTTTTTCTATGTTTTGTGTCATCCTCCGCACTCAGAAGCCAAAGGTTTCACTGCTTGGTTTGGAAGAAGAGTCTGAAACCTTTGAATCCATTTCTGCCTACAAGAACCTTCAGACCAAGCCGGGCATCAAGGTTTTCCGCTTCATAGCCCCTCTCTACTACATAAACAAAGAATGCTTTAAATCAGCTTTGTACAAGAAAACGCTAAACCCAGTCTTGGTACAGGCAGCTTGGAAGAAGGCAGCCAAGAGGAAACTCAAGGAGGAAACAGTGATTTTCACTGGGATCCAGGATGAGGTTTCAGTGCAGCTTTCCCATGACCCCTTGGAGCTGCATACCATCGTGATTGACTGCAGCGCAATACAGTTCTTAGATACTGCAGGGATCCACACGCTGAAAGAAGTTCGCAGGGATTATGAAGCCGTTGGTGTCCAGGTTTTACTGGCTCAGTGCAATCCTTCTGTGAGGGATTCCTTGACCAGAGGAGAATACTGCAAAAAGGAAGAAGAAAATCTTCTCTTCTATAGTTTGTCTGAAGCGGTGGCTTTTGCGGTGGCCTCTCAGAAGCAGAAAGGAGTGTGTGTTCTCAATGGTCTGAGTCTCTCTGGTGACTGAGGAAGCAAATAAGAAGAGTGTCCTGCCATTTCACCATGCAACATTTTCTCCTGGGAAAGGAGAAAGTGGTGCACTCTTGGGATCGTTCTCCTTTGAAGCTAAAAAGCCTTTTGATATTCTCACGTGCACGAGAGCTTTTAGTAGGGTGGAATCGAAAAGAAGAAAATGCTGTGGCTTCAGACTTTCATGCAGATAAGCACTCTTGGGGTACAGTATAAACGAAATGGGACTGTAAAGCAGCTCCCAAACTTGATCGCTTTACTTTAGGGGCTGTCTATCAGAACTCTGTCCTCCAGGAGACAGAGAGGTGACGTTGGGGTTTGCTGTACACACACTGGAGCCTTTGCATGGCCCTGCGGAGAGGGGAAGAAAGGCAGCATTGTTGGGCCGGAGCTGGTGAGGCACTAGGGCCTAACTAGATGAGTTCTGTTCTCACTGGCGGTTCTCTGTGCTTTGCTCCCAGACAGCAGAGTAAGATCTCTGGCTGGTAGTTGGAAATACCGTTTTTCCTCTCCTTCATGCAGGAGCTGTGGCATGGTCTCCTAAGAGCATCTGGCCCTGCAGCCAGCCTGACACTGTACAAAACCCCTGTTGTAATATTTATTTAGAATAAGTAGGTAAGGAAAGAGTTCGGAATCAGGAAGACAGTGAGAGTCTTTGTTCTTCATCTTTATCTTTGTTTCTGAGACTGTCTGCTAGTGAGCTCTGTTCCCCCTTTGACTCAGCCTGCTGTTTTCTCCTGGAATCTGCCTTAAGTTGGTATTTCTGAATCAGTCTAGTCAGACAAAGCCGAAAATTTATTTGCTCAGCAGCTTCTTGTAGCACTATAAATGGACTTGTGGTGCATATTCAAGGAGAGATTAAAAAAAAAAAAAAAAAAAAAAAAGAATGACAGTTCCTCTTAAGAAATGCCACCACCACAACCAACCCACCACTGGCATTTTAGCAAGGATCTGCTGGGCATTAGTAGTCTTACTTAAATAGAAGTGGCTGCTTGTAGAAGACTCTAGAGGCGATAGAGTGCTTCCTAATTATGTCCATAATTACTTTGCAGATGTTGTGAAAACAGTGTTGATGTTTACTGCCACGTACCCTGTTGGTATACGATAAATACTGATGTCAGTAGCCAGTTTTAACTTGTATGCAAGAGGACTTGGAACTTTCCCAGAACCCTAGTTTTACTGGTGTGTCATTCTTGGTAGCTGGCTCTAGGTTATGAACTCAGTAGTTTCTTCAGCACTTTTGACAGGTGAGAAAAGAAGTTCACCCAAGTGAGGCATAGAGCACTAACCTACCAGAGATTAAAAGACTTACCAAGTCATTCAAGTAACGATTGCCAAAGTACAAAATAATTTTTAGCCTGTTCTTATAGGCAAAACAATTTCAAATAGTTATGGGAAGGAAACTCTATGTAGCAAACCTACTGAGGTAGAATGCTTTTAAACATCACACACCACACAAATACACACATACACATACACACACACACACACTCCAAAAACCGACCCTGTTGTTTTTCTATTGGTGTTACAGTCCCGTTTGCTTATGTAAGAAATACCTTTCTGTGATCCCAGTGGAAGTTTCAGAGTAGAAAACGTGGCTGTCTTCCGGGTGATAATGTTGATAACAACCACACTGCTGTGGTTTGACAATCCCCCGTGAACTCTGCCCAAGAATTTCAGAAATGTTACCTGCTGCTTGCTTGTTCTTTTGTTTGACTTTCTAGCTTTATGAATAATTGTAAGAGCACAGTATCCTGGTCATTTTTTTTTTTAAATCCCACTTGCCCTTTCCTCCAGCCAGGTTGGAATTAAGACTGTTACAGATGTTTAATACTCAGTGAGAGACTGGCAGGTACATGTTAGTGGCAGCTGGAGGGATGCTCAGTAGTTCAAAGTACTTGCTACTCTTAGAGGACCCAAGTTCGGTTCCCAGAACTCATATTAGGCAGCTCACAGTTACCTGTAACTCAAGCTCCAGGGGATCTAACCCTCTCTTGACTCCCGTGGGACACACACACACACACACACACACACACACACACTTTTTTTTAAAGCACATGTTTAAGATAACTCTATAATCTATTCAACACCAGCATGGAAGAATTTTAGTTCAGTGTTTGGAAAGTACCTGCCCTCTGCTTGACAGGTAAGTTTATAGTATGGCTTTAATAGGTTCTGGAGCTTTATACATGCATTAGCAATTCTTGAGTTATGTTATGGTTTGTGTTTGTCCCACAAAAGCCAACAGGATTCTGCTTTTAATAGCCATTTGTTAAACATGGTTGCACCCGAATCTGTTGCAGCCGTCTTCTTTGGGTTGAGATCTTCCTAACATCAAACATTAAAATTGATTTGATTGCTGATAATTGGAGGAATCAAATATAGAACCAAAGCCTAATTTACCACCACCACCAGCAGCAACAATAAAAACTATTTTAATTTGCTTTTTGAATCTTTAAACATATTCATAAACGTTATCTTGTTGACTCAGAACATTAGTGTGTAAAATATTTTCTGACTGTTTACAAAGATGTAAAACCCTGAATGTTGTTAAATGGCTGTCATTTAATTGAAATACAGTGTGTGTGTGTGTGTGTGTGTGTGTGTGTGTGTGTGTGTGTGTGTGTGTGTGATGACAAGGCCTTCTGTAGCACAGGCTGACCTCAAACATGCCAGGTAGCTGAGGGTGCTTGTGAGCTTTTGGTCCTGCCTCCACCTCCAGGTGCTGGAGCGACAGGTGCATAGGGATGGGGTATGCTAGTGCACACGCAGACCTGCTACACAGAGAACACAGTTCCGGGGAGTGAAAGGATAGAGCGCTGAAAACTGTATCTGACCAGAAATAAAGAGACCTGGCTGGACAGGGTCCACGTCCTTGGGAAATGCCACAGTAAGATCAGGATTCAGAAGCGCACCTCTAAGAGCAAAGTTAGAAAGAGGTTCTGTTTCTAGAAGGGGAGAGGCACAGACTCACCAGAGCCCCAAAGAGCTAAGAAGCATTTTCTCGGGTTGTAGGCAGAGGTGGGTGGGCCTAGAGTACTGTCTTCCCTGTGAGCTGAATAGCTGTAGTGCTGTGTCTCAGCTAGGGTAGGACTGGCAGGAGCCTAGTTAATTTTAAGCTGGGTCAATGGAACAGATATAATTTATATAAACGTTTCCAGCATAGCAAATGGTGAACTTGGGAGACTACACAGAGATGCTAGATGAGTTCATCAGACTAAGTTCCACCTACCTGCTAGCACAAACGGTGATCCTCTTACAGGGCTGTTCCTGGCAGTTTGACATTGAAGAACACATTGCCAGGGTTAACCCCAGCCTGCAAGTACAAAGAGGAATGCAGTAGGTTTGGGGACTAATGTTGAGTCTCTTCATTTACAGTGGTGGACTCTGGCTCCTGTTAATATCCTTACTGAAGCTTTTCTTGTGAGTACTGACAGAGATGAGCTGAAGGCTCTCTGCAGGAAGTAAATGCTTCTTCAGAGATCCCCAAATATCTGGAAGGCAGGCATCCCTGGGGGGACTTAGAGAATGCTTTGTGGAGAGTGCTTGAGAGGAAATTCTGCTGCGGCTGGAGTGGAGGCGGTGCCCCCGCCCCCACCCCACCCCACCCCCTGCTCCCCATCCCAGTGTGTTCAGGAAACAGTCTGGAGAAAAGTGGACTTCTCCAGCTGACAAGCTTTACACGTTTGCCCACTCTTGATTTTGTGTGTTCTTCCCCTCTTGGAATCTTTTCTTAATTCTAGTGATACTTTAACTTGAAGTTGGGCTTTAAATGAAATTGCAGAAAGGATGAAATGCTACTTACAAAGCTCTTAGACTCTGTGGGCATGGTAACCTGTGAGGCACTTGAAGGCTGAGGCAGGAGGATTGAGTCTTCGAGGCCAGCCTGAGATACTTGGTGAGACCTTGCCAAAAGAAGAGAAAGGAAAACTAGCTAGCTATTGGAGACTCTTTGTCCAACCCTTTTTTGCATAAAAATTTTTAGATAATCATGGATGATAAGTTTGGGTGCTAAGTTTAAGCATGAAAATTATAATGAAACAGGATAAAACAGTACACCAGCTGGCTTTCTTATAGACTTTATCATACAGTAAAATACAACTGAATTATTTTGAGTTAAGTAAAAATAAGTTTTTTTTTAAAATAGTAACTTAGAAATGGAGGCTTTGATGTAGAAGGGGGCATTTTTAATAAGGTAATTTTTATCATGGTAAGAACTATTTTTGTACTAAAAGTATTTTGCAACTGAAATTTAAAAATAAACCTGTTAAATACAATTAGAAAGTCAAAGAAACATTATACTAGTAGTGTTTTTAGTATGTACTTTGTACCTTATGGCTTAGTTTAAAATAAGAATGTATTGAAGGCAGCAGACTGAGCAGGGAGGGCATCAAAGCTTTCATTGGAGACACTGTAAGTCTGTTGTAGCTGCTGGGTTACAAAGGGTTTTCCTTTGAAACTTGAATAAACGTATTTTGAGGGTGAGCCTACACCCTCTGTGCCTTATCCCTAGGAGGAAACACGGAATCAAACAGCTCTTTCTTTTTCAGTGCAAATCATTTGAGAAACGGGGATCTGAGTCCCGATGTCGCCATGGCTTCCGTGTCTTAGGAGTGAGTGTGAATATACCTACACAGCCTGCTTCCTCACTTTGTACCATTGTATACATGTGCAGACAATATGGAGACAGATAAATGAACTTGAATTCCCAGTCTTTACCAAAAAAATGTTTAGCTGTCACCATCCTTTGCCATTAGAGACATATTTTATAGTAGGCTTTTTTAATTCAAGTAAGTGCCTTGATGCTGTTCCTCATAAATCATTGCTCAGCCATCCTTCAGAACAAAATAAGGTATTTCCTGTTGAGGGGAGGGGTCGTTAATCATTTTCTTCTGGAAGAATGTGTTTGAATTGCTTATTTTGTAAGGTCCTCTATGTGTTTGAGATCCATTTCTTTTGTTAATAAAATGTTACTGTAATAAAATATTGCTATTACTGTGTGTAAATTATTTTAGTGCCAGGGTCCTGACTAAAAACATTTAGCTATTGGTGGGTTTGATTAAAAATATTTTAACTTTTATGTTTTGAGGTGTTTTGCCTGCATGGTATGTCTGTGCCCCATGTGCATGCAGAGGCCAGAAGAGGGCATCAGACACCTTGGAGCTGCATTTAAAAACAGTTGTGAGTCACCATGTGGGTGCTGGGCATTGAACCCTGGTCCCCTGGAAGAACAGCCAGTGCTCTTAACCACTGAGCCACCTCTCCTACCCCAGATATCAGTGAATTTGAAAGTGCTCTTTTAGTGGATATGGTAGTGCAGGCCTGCTTCCCCAGCACTCAGGAGATAGAGGCAAGGGCAGAGAGATAGGAAGATCAAGGCTGTCTCAATAAATAATGTTTGGAGAAGGAGCCAGTTTTCCCCAGTGGTACAGAAGAATCCAATCATCAACAAAGCGCAATGCTTTTCCTTTGGGGACTCAGTTTCTCCATTAGTGCAAACATAACAGGAGGCTTAGATTGTTTCAAGACCCCTCAGCTCTCAATGCATGGCTCCTGTAACATCAGAATCAGAAAGCCCAAATCTGGTTGGTTTTAGACATTTTGCAGGTTGTTTGACACAGGGCCTTGCCATATAGTCCACACTGCTGATCCTCCTGCCTCAGCCTCCTCAGTGCCAGGATTATAGGCATGCACGGTCATGTTTGGCTGCAAGGCACTCGGTACTGCCACTTTCTGTACCTGCCCTGCAGTCCCTCCCGGGAGCCTTCTCAATGGGGCTACCACCATCAGTTTCTAGCCCTTCTGTAGCAACCTGGATATTCTGTCCCCAACTTCATTCACACTGAGCAGAGTGAAGGCATTGACTGTCCTAACCATTCTGTGTACAGTGTCTGCACACAGCACATCCTGGACCCCATGGAGAGCACTCAGTCGTTCTTTGGTGCCTCATTCAGCCACCTTAGAGGGCTCTGCTCCTCCATATGTCCTCTAATGCTTTGTGTTCTTGCCCTCTTCATTTAGAGGCATTGCTTAAGTCCTTTATTACCAGGTCCAGTACAAAGTGAACTTATGGCTCGTGGAGAAATACTCACAAGTACAGGTAATGAACACAATTACAATAAGGTGGGTTCAAGTCAGGCACAGTGATGCATGCGTTGCAATCCCAGCACTTAGGAGGCCGAAGGAGGAAGGCTGCAAGTTCAAGGCCATCTGGGTTACTATATCATGAGACCATATCCCAACAAATGTTGGTTCATGAGTCCTCTTGAACACTGTAAGCTCTCTCCAGATGTTCACACCGACCCCTACAGCTCCAGCCACCTTCCTGCCCTTGCGAATGGCGTTCAGATTTCTCATGGGGGGAAAGGTGGCTCAGCTGAAGAGCACTTGCTGCTTTTGCAGAGCACCTGAGTTTGATTCTCAGCACCCACATCAGGCAGTTCACAAATGTCTGTGACTCCAGCACCAAGACATCCAATGTCTTCCTCTGGACTTGGACATCTGCACTCATGTACACACACACACATATAATTAAAAATAAATCTTATACAATTTTTTTAAAAAGGATTGCAGCCTAACCTTAACAGTAACTGCATTTTTTTTTTAAACTCCTAAGGCTTGGATTACAGGTATAAGCCAACACTCCCAACTTGCTATGAATTATTTAATTAAAAAAATTACAACTTATCATTGTTCCCCAGTGTTTTCAGGATAAGCTCAAAATAGATGCCTCACTGACAAGACCTTAAGAACTCTAGCCTTAGCTAGGCAGTGGTAGCGTATTATCTTTAATCCCAGCACTTGGGAGGCAGAGGCAAGTGGATATCTAAGTTGTAGGCCAGCCTGGTCTACAGAGCGAGTTCCAGGACAGTCAAGGTTACATAGACAAACTCTGTCTCCAAAAACAAAAAACAAACAAACAAAAACTCTGGCCTTAACCGGAGATGGTGGTGCATGCCTGTCATCCCAGCATTTAGCATGGTGAAGTGGGATTGCCAACTCTAGGCCAGCCTTGGCTACATAGCATGACAAAAATCTTTCTCAAAAATAAAACCGAAAATAATCTTCTCGTTAGAGAGGAAAAAAGAACCCCAGCTCTGCCCTTGGTTACCTCTAGCCTTTGTTCTACCACACATTCTTTGCCTAACATGCCAACCACTCGCCTTAGGAGTGCCCAAATGAAACAGCAAGCACCCCAGGCCTTTAAACTGTTCTGCCTTGAGTCGCCTCCCAACTCTCTTCTGCCAGCTTCCTGTTCCTCCTTCCTGCATGTCGCTACTGTCCTTTGCTCTTAGCAATATGTTCCATAAATTTCCTCTTCTCTCCATCAGTGGGTCCTTTGGGCTCCGTCATCTGCACTCTTACGTGGTCTGTGCATAGTGAGCAAAATGAGGGTTATCATTCATGTCCCCAACTTCTACTAGCTTCTTGGTAACCCATGTACAGAAGGCCAGCAGTCTCTATATTGTAAAGTAAAATAAATTATTATTGCAAGCATGGATATGTTTGGTGGATAATTATTTCTTCAACAGTAATTTCTGGAACATGCCTGTCTATCAAAAGGCAATTACATTGACAATAATACCCAGAGGTTGAAAAACGTCTTTAATGAGATAGGTAATGGAGTAGGTTAGATAGTCTCCAGCACAGGTAGCTCCATTTCTAGTCCTTTGAATGAGGCCCACACTCTGTCTACTTTTGTTTACCTTCTCTAGATATCTCTACCACATCAGAACAACTACAGCTGGATGCACCTGAGGTTTCTTCAATTAGCCAAGTTTTCTCCCTTATGTAGCCCACCTGTTCCTTCTGGTGGCGGGAATATGCAACTACACTGTAAAGAAGCAAGCCCAGGAGCACGACTTCATTCAGCTCTGTAACTTGAAATTGTACTTTTGCGATAATTTTCTAGGAAGATTAAATGATAACAAATTAAACAGTACTAGACATAAATGGGCAATAAATCTTGGTTTTCTTCCCTCTGATGAAAGAGCCCGGCAAAGGAAATTCCCAGAACACGGAACTCGAGCACATGCGTGCATGTGTGCGTGCGTGCGTGCGTGCGTGCGTGCATACGTATGCGCGTGTCCACTTGGGATGGCTTCTGTGGTGGGTTTGGGCTGTTCTGATAAGGAAACCTCATCTTCTCTTCCACCTTTACCAGCATGCACCATTCCCGGGGTCATCTCTGGGACCATCAGCTCCAGGGAATGATAAGGTCATCTTCAGTGACAAAGTCCTGGAAATTTATTTCACTGGGCACACAGGTGACAAAGGAACACAGCTGCCAAATGCCAAAATGTTTTTATTTCCAAAGGATTTTATTTTCATTTTTGAGACCGATTTTTTAATGTTATGTATGTGAGTATTCTGCCTACATGTCTATGCACCAGCTGTGTGTTTGGGCCCCAGATCCCTTGGAACTGGAGTCACAGTTGTGAGCCATTGTGTGAGGGACAGGAACTGGGCTGTCTATTCCTGGTTGTCACCTTGACTGTATCTGGAATGAACTAAATCCAGAAATGGGGGGTACACCTGGGAGCTGGATCTTGAGGCAGGAAGACAGCATGCCTTTGATCAGGATCTTGAGGCAGGAAGGCACTTCTAATCTTCTGATAGCCGTCTATACAAGGATAATGAAAGAAGGAAGCGTTCATTCTTCACCTCCTTGTCCCCGCCTTGTCATCCATTCCTTCACTGGCACTGGAACCTCCTTCTTCAGGATTCCAGCATCTACAGAAGACCAGCTGAGACACCCAGCTTCATGGGACTCGGCAGCCACTAGATTCTTGGACTTTCCAGTCACACCTAGCCATTCTTAGACTGCAGCCTGTAATTCATTCCAATAAATCCCCATATATATGTGTGTATATATAATGTGTGTATATATATGAGAGATAGACAGACACACAGACATACAGACAGACGAGAGAGAGAGAGAGAGAGAGAGAGAGAGAGAGAGAGAGAGAGAGAGAGAGATATTGAGATTCATTCCATAAGTTCTGTGACTCTGGGGAGCCCTGTCTAATACAGGAACTGAACCCGGGTCCTCTGGAAAAGCAGTCAATGCTCTTCACCCCCGAGGCACCTCTGCAGCCATCTGGCCGTTGTTTCAGATCTCTCCATTTCATGGCTCTGAGGCCTGCCCTCTGCCCACACTTCACCACTGTGAACTGCCTCACTCACCACGGCAGCAATTAGACCAATGGCTTGCTTGATGCCCACGTCTTCTTGCTCTTCACTGCTGTTGAGCTGGAGGAGAACTGGTTATAGAAGGTGGCTCCTGTACAACATTTCTGGGGTGGGAGTTATGCTAGGGTTCAGTGGTTGTGAGACAGCAGTAGAGTTTGAGGGCAGATGCCTGACTTCTTTAAGTATGGAAGTGTCTTGTGAGCACAGCAGCTGTCCATGAGCAGGATCCTGTGTTCTGCCTGCTTCATCCTGGTCTCTGTTTGCATTAACCACTCATTAATCAGGTCCTGTGTCATCCATGCCAGTGGCTGGCGCAGCAATCACAGGTGGGATAGACATTCTTGAGACGCTGCGGCCTTTACCGTCAATGGTTTCATGTTTTCTGACCCGGAAGTATTGCAACAAAAAGCGGCTATCAATCATGACTTTGCTTTCTTGCCCTCTTTACAATGGTCCCTGTCTACGTTAGGGTTTCTATTGCTGTCATAAAACACCATCACCAAAATCAACTTGGAGAGGAAAAGGTGTATTTCATCCTACAGCTTGTAGTTTGTCATCCAGAGAAGGCAAGGCAAGCACTCAGGTAGGAACTGAAGAGGCCATGAAGGAGTGCTGCTTATAGGCTTGTGCCCCATGACTTGTACACCTCAGGACCACCTGCTCAGGCTTGGCATCACCCACTGTGGGCTGTACCCTCCCACATCAATTATTAATCAGGAAAATACCCCCTACAGACTTGCCTATAGGGCCAATATTATGGAGACGTTTTCTCAGTTAAGCTTCCCTCTTCCC